GAGCCGCTGCGATAAGGCCTCCATCGCGCTGTTGACGTGGAATTAGGGCTGACGTGGCTTTCCCAGGGCTCGTCCTCCACGAGAAAAATCTCTTTGCATCATCCAGAAGAAGAAACTTGCCTGCGTGTAGGCAGAGCCAGGCAGCTTTAATGCTTTAAAATGCTGCTGTGGTGTTTGCCTGGTAAGGCACGTGTGTTTCAGATCGAGTTCTCTGTGCCCGGTCTTGTCTCTTACCGCTCGGGGATTGAACGTCCTGGTTCTCTGGTTGCCCACTTGTTTCACTGATTGGCCCCGGGAAGGGGGGGTTCTGCAGAAAAAGACACAGGCATCAACAGAAGGGTCGGCTTATTTTACCATCTGTTTCAAAGTATTGCAAGAATAAGGCAACACAAATTTATTATACTCTAGTTTTAAGCAGCAAGGAGAACAAGCAGGGTAATGCACCTAATCATTACTATATAGAGTTAGCAATAGTTATTAAGAAAGATACATCACCAGCCACCCTAATATCATCGTCCAGATCCACAGTTGCTGGGGAGCCCCTGTTGCAGCGAGGATTCTGGAGAACCGTCCCGGCAGTTGGGAAGTCCTACGAAGTGCATCCGCTCGTAGGTGAGGTCTCCAAAGTTGCTGCAAGAGGGTCCAGCGTTTATACTATTAAATAAACAACCTTACATAACTTCAAATGCGGGAACATCTGGTGTTGTCCACTCTGTTGGATTCCTCCCACGTTTAGTTGTACAGCAAAGCTTTTACAGATTGGCATTGGAGTATATATATATATGTGTGTGCTAAAATACATTATATATGTGGTTAATACTATATAGTCTGGAGATTCATCTATAGGTCAACTTCAGTTTAGGGCCTATGATTCAGGCCCTAGCGCTACACCACTCTTAGGTCAGCTGGCCCTGCAGACTATTCCAAAAGTCACTTTTATGGCAGAGGACTTGTCTAGAGTGGTGTGATGAAGCAATGAATGCCATGCCTGGGTCTTAGACTGGCTTTAATGCTGAAGCTGGTATCCAGGCTTATGGAAGTTCTGTTTTACTCCAGCTGCAAAATAAAAATAAAAAATAATGCAAAAGTCCTGCACTACTTTGTAAAGCTACAAAGGAGAAACAGTAGTTCATACAGTTCTTGCTTTCCGTTTTATTGTTCAGGTATGCTGCAGCCTCCCAACGCGCTGGATCTATTTTAAGTGCGCTCACCCCTCTCTGCTAGGTGCATACTTTCTCTTTGTGCCTGCGTGGGAAAGGTTAGTTCATGAAATCATGTCTGCAGGTGGTCTCTCTCCCTTTGCACTGGATGATCTGCTTTGTTCCCCTGGATCGGGCCACCGGGCGTAGGAGGTTGGGAGTTAATTCTGGCCGGGCTCAGTTTCAGTCCTGCTGGTGAGATAAGTTTTGTTCGTGTGTGATAGCCCAGTGCTAACAGTGGCCCCCTCTGTTTTGGAGGAATCCGGGTCTCGGCCAACTGGCTGCTGTGAAGTGACGTCGGGGCAGCCGAGGTCTCGCTTGGGCCCAGCCACGTGCCCCTGCCCCGTTGTCGAGGCCAGCAGTTTGGGGAACTGTCGGGCCGTTTGTCAAGGGTGAACAATGCACTGTCTGTGGGGGATTGCATTACCGTAAATAACGTTAAAATAGCATAAAAAATCCCTTTCAGGTCAACTCCCCCACAAGTGTTCTGGCTGGGCTATTAGCAGCTTCTCTCGCCCCCGCAGGCCCGGCTGAATGGGCAGTGTATTTGGCTGGTTTGGGTAGTGCTATTCAGTTCTGCTGAAAGCGGATGGCAGCGCTTTTACTGTCCAGAATCCTGTTTGTGAGCAGGCTGCTGCTAGAGCTGTAAAGGGCGAAAATGGATCGAGCTGCATAATATCCTCTAGCTAGAGATTAGCTCCAGTGTCCACAAAGCCCTAGGGGAATAGTGCTGCAAATAATAGGGACATTTGAGAGCTTTATTCACTGTGTTCTTGTCACCACTTCTTGGGGTGGAGAAGCTGGTGTGCAGATTAGTTATCACCCTGATGAGGTTAATCAAGACTGCTCCATTGAGCACCGTGTGGTGGCCAAAACACACCCTTTTACACCCTGTCTGCAGGCGGTGAGATGCAGGTGAGACGCAGGCAGCCCTGCTGACTTGGCTTCCGATAGTCTGGCGGCTTCCAGACAGGAGGTGGCTTGTCTTGGTGACCTGTGGCCGGGGATCACAACGCAGCTGCCTGTGCCTGGCTGCGCAGGCGTGCTTTCATCTGCTCGCAGCTTGGATATAGGTAGAGCTCTGAGCAGGAACTGCAGCCTGGGAGGAGAACGATGTTCCTCGTTGTTCTCGGATGCTGACAAATACCATATGGTGGAGGGGCAGCTACAACAGATCCTGTAACAGATAATTGTGGGATAATCTGTATGTAGAGGAAGCTTGTTCCTAAAGTCTTGCCTGCTATGGTTTATACTCTGAGGCATGAGGGTTTGTATAACTTAGTGTTTTTCCTGTCAAATGCAGTAACTCTCATCATCCATGTGAAGGTCCACAACTGTTCTGAGTGCAGCAGGCTGCCAGCATTGGTGGTGTGCTGTGGCAGGGAGTTAATTAGGTGTTCTAATAAGAATCAAGAAGAGCATTTCTTTAGAGTAGTTTTGGGTACATAGCTTTTTTGTATGGCTTTTATACAGGGAAATGAGGCTGGTTTTCTGCTGTAAGATGGAGTAAAGGAGAATGTCTGACTTATCTTCTCCATACCATAAATTATTTTGTGTACTTCTGGCTTAATACACCTTTAAAATTGTTCCCAATCTTTTTAGTCTCTTCACCTCCAAGACTTTCAAAGATGCTTAGGAACTTTAGCCATGCTTTTCCAGACATACTTGTTGAAGGATAGAGTTGAGGGAAACTGGGAAGTGTTCCAGAGGAGCACACAATGTTGATTTTCGTGCAGGATTGCAGTGCCTTTAGTTTTTTTCACCCCTCTTCATGGTCAGAGTATTTCAACTTGATGGAGCCTTTAATTGAGCACAACGTTTCTCATGTCTGCGTCATGAAGCGTCTCTTTTTTGCTCTTTGTTGAAGTGTTTTTGTGGACCTACAGTTTTTGCCTATTCTTAGTAAGTTCATAGACTTAGGGCAAAGCAGTCATTATTCTGTCTGTGTAGTCTGAATTGTCCTCCGAAGTGGCCACTTTTATGGATGTTGGCACCCAAACCTTGTATAACTCAGGGCTGCACTGGTGGGTCATTTCTAGAGGAGCAGATGTGTGCCCCTCTCCATTTCATCCTCTGGGGTATGAGTCTTTTTTGTCCCATCAGGCTTCTCTGTATCTCTGCTGCTATGGGAATTCATAAATTTTACTTGCGAAAAGAAGATGACAAATAACAGTTTGGTTCAGCTAGAGTTCATAAATGTAGTCTATATTCAAAGGTTATAGAAGGAAGAGAAATTGTGTGGTTTGGGGTTTTTCTGGTTGGTTGGTTGATTGGTTGTTTTTTTGAGAGGTTCTTTTTTGTTTAATCTAGGAGTCAATAATTACCTTAGAGGAACTCTGTCACCTCCTGGAGTGGGGATGAGGGAAAGGGGAATTGATACTGTTGTGAGCGGGGAGGCAAACTGCGGAAAGGAGCGTGCAGGAGCTCCAGAGGGAATGCTGCCAGAACTCTTCCTGCGTAGCACAGGCAGAGAAGCACTGTGTTCCTCACCCTCCGTGTCTCTTTTACAGATAACTGACTCGGCTGGGCACATCCTGTATGCCAAGGAGGATGCCACTAAGGGCAAGTTTGCTTTCACCACTGAAGACTATGATATGTTTGAGGCCTGCTTTGAGAGCAAGCTTCCTGTGGGTAAGTGAAATGAAATGTCTGTTGGCCTCGTCTACCTTCCAAGCAAGTTCATGCTGATATGTGAATTGGGGGTATGGGCAAAGGGATCCTGAGTGTGGTCTGCAGGACATTGACTTTTAAAGCTGATCTTTAGGAGGTTGTGGGCAGTCTCACTGCAGAATGTTTGCCGTTGGTGTTGCATTTGAAGTTA